TTATTATTATTATTATTATTATTATTATTATTACTGCTACTACTACTATTGTTATTTCTCTTAAAATTAATATCACATTGCACCAGTTTCAGTCAATCATAGATCCCAATATTACGATTCAATATTAATTGTACGCTTCGAAAAATTTTTCTTAATCTCGGAAATGCCATTTTTGTGATCGTTTTCATATTTCATATTCTATTTATGTATTCAATGTTTGACAGTGAAATTATCAGGAAGAATTTTGATTTAAATTGTTAGCGATATAATAATAGTTGTGAGTATGAATGTTTTTATTAGCAGTGAACTAATGATAATAAGATTTATTTTTATTGGATCTGAGTTATTTGTTCCGAAATACATACTACCACTCATTGATGTTTTTATCTCATTTCATTATTATTCATGTATTATATATTACATTCTGTTCCATTTTTTAAGATAATTCCCACTAATAAAAGAGAGAGTACACTGCCAAATGCTGGATTGCTGCACACTACCCATCGCTATTGTTACTATCATTATTATTATGAATATTATTATAATTATTATTACCAATATTATTATCATTATGTTACAATTATATTATTATTAGTATTATTATTGAAGTATTTATCCTATTAATTATAGATCGATTTAAATGCTTCTGTATTTGATTCAGTCTTTCAGTCTTCATTATAAACCACTGTCCGCAGACTTGATGACCAAATGCTCGTCTAGCTCACCAATTTAATCACTGAGAATTGTTTTCCCCAAATGTCGACCGCTAAATATTGCAGTGAATTACTTCACTGCGCTAAAAACTCTTCTGTCTTTACCAAAATGATCCGGCCATTCAGGTAATATTTTATCTGAATGGCAGCTATTTGTTATTTTGGAAGCATTATTCTGAAAATTGTATAGCAAATTTACCGTGGTTTATCAGCACTGATTCGTTATTAAATTGTCCAGGTCAATGAACTAATGAGTATTGCAGTGAGACAGTATTGAATTTATTTACAACAACTTATGGAATGACGTGATATCAGCCAAACTTGTCAGTATTGTTCAGCTACAGTTTAGTAAACGACGCGATTGCTATGCGTGAAACTTTCTTTCGGTTCACAGATTTTGCCATTTGTGAATGGAATGCATTCGATCTTCGACGAATCCACTATTTTAGGAATGCTTTTAATCGGAAGCCCACGTAAAAGATTTTATGATTTGCTTTATTGTGCAAAAGTCATCTTGGAATGAACATGTATTTCACAAATTCAGTTTCTGATTGAGTGATAATGATAGCACAATCACATGGAGGAAGAAGAAATGAAAGCGGAATAGTAGAAAAGTTTATGCGAGGAGTGTATGGAGATAACGAGGAATCATACTTTTATGTGATGGAAAAACTGTTTGATGGTTGTTGTGGACAGTGGTCAGGGTCGCTTGAACTATTTACCATTCAATCAGAAAATGAATATTTCTGGTGGAGGATGGACATCGATCACAAAAGAATACTGCACACTAATTAATAACAGTAATAATAATTGCATTGAAAATCAACGGGTGAAATTAATCGGCTTAGTTGAATGAATAATGAGTTGAATAATTACGAATGTCATTATATTTTTCAGAGAACGAAACAGAGGGATACAAACGAATAATTATCACTGCATCCATCGTTCTAGCGTTCACAATCTGTTGCATTCAATACGTTTGTTGCACCCATCAGCAAGATGCCCGCCTGCGTGATCATCCGTATACAACAAATCAACAATACATTAATATATTATAATTAGGTATTTCAATAGCTTTACGATAGACATATCGCCGCCCCACATGGTACCCCTTACTGAGGGACATTTTAACAAAAATCTGAATGACCCTCACTCGCGTATATTCATCACATGGAAGTGTAACGAATCGATCGTTCGTTTGCCTATTCGGATGAACGGCTAGTCTTTCATTTGGGTCGCTTCTCATGCCAACGATTTTCTAATACAATGAACGAACAAAAGTAACTTCAAACAGAAGCAATCAACCGGTTCTAATGCAGGTGATCATCACTCATCGAAGTTCATCGATGATCACTTTCGACCACTGTGATCACCTACCGCTAAAATAAATTTTTTTGTCAAACGTTTCATGCAGACGACCTCATATGAGCACTTCAACTCCGAAGTAAACCAACCCTGTAAAATATCCATCCATCCATTCGTTACCTTCTTTTAACATCATCACTATCATCTTTTGCACCATAAACTTATCTCTGACTGATAATTTTGGGCAAATTTACAACTTGAAATTGGCATCAGTTTCATGAGTGCAATCATCACATTTCGAGCATTCAACATCATGTGAAAAAAATCACTTGATTAAGCTGAAACTGAACGTTAACCTCTCACGCTCTCGCGTTTTGTGCCTTCTTTTGACCGTATGGCTGATCGCCAATCCTCTCCAACAATTTATTTGACCGTAATTCGTTCCCTTCCCTCACTTGGCTATTCGTAACAT